CCTGGCTGCATGTTCTTGTGAAGTTTTTAATTCTGTAGGGCACCTTGAGTCTTCAATCTGGCAGCCTAATAAATCTCATAGATACTACTACTACTACTACTACTACTACTACTACTACTACTAATTATTATTATTATTATTATTATTATTATTTCTGTTTTCTGAGATACAGCAGGTTACTGGAGCGGGTGGGAAAAGGCAAAGGGAATGCATGGCCCAAAGACAGAGGTTCTAAATTAGCCTTCCTCATCCTGGGTGCCAGATGTGTGACCTCCAACTTCCAGAATGTGGTTGTGCTGTGCTGGCTGGGGAATTCTGGGAGCTGGAAGTCCATGTCCCCAGAAGCCACGCAAGCAAGTAAATGATGCTGCGGTTGAGCAAGCAAGCAAATGACCTTCAGTGGACGGTTTCTGTTTTTGAACGGCGTGCACGCACACACACACACACCCCCCCAGCCAATCTTGGTTTACCTGGCAATTGGGACAGCAGCGATGGAGGTCTTTTCGAATGCTACACTTCTCCAGGTGAGGAAGCGTCTGAAACCTCCCAAGCAGCCTCTGAGCGTTTTCCTGGGCGGTTTCCAGGGCTCGCAAGCAGTGGTCACAGGCTGAAAGGGAAGCGGGGGGGAGAGATTGGTCCCCCAGCTCTGCTAGAATTGCCTCTAGGTCTGTGGACAAACTACACCTCTCTTTCCAGCATTCAGACACTAAACAGAAAAGAGTGTCCCGACAGTCACCACAGCTGACCCTGGGTTTTCCCAAGCGACTGTTAATAAGAACAACAGCAATAACAACATCACAATGATCATCTTCTCATTACAGGAAAAACAGATTTGGGGAAGGATTTCAACATAAAAACAGCTGATGGGAGAGACCCCCCCAGGATCTCCGCTCGCCTGCTCAAGCAATGAATGCTGAGATTTTCATTCCAGGAATCTGGACGAAACCCATAATGTGTGTTCCCTTGCCCAACTTCACCCCTTCTGATACACAGATACAATTCCCAGAATTCCACGGCACAGCTGCCAGAGCCTTCTGGGAGTTGTGGCCTCAATATTTTGGGAAGGCAGCAGAAAGCTGGAGTTGCCCAACAGGGTTGCCCCTTATTGGCAGCCCTTAAGGTAAGGATGAAGGGAGGGCACCAGACTGAGGAATACAGGTAGCCCTCACTTAACGTCCCAAATTGGGATTGGCAACTCCGTCATTAAATGGCACGGTCATGGAGGGCAACGTCATGTGACCGCGCCGCTTTACAACATCATTTCCAGCATTTCTGGTCAAAGTTGTTAAGCGAGGACTTCACAGGATTGCAATTTAATTATTTATTGATTTATCAAATGTATATGGCCACCCACCTCACAAGAAGTGACTCTGGGCGACATACAGCAAAAAATATAAAACAATAAACCTGTCAAACACACACCTGCACGATTAGATCAGCAAGGGAGGCACCTCTAGGTCTCCCTGGTCCCCTGAGACCCCCAGGCCTGATGACCCAGCCAGGTCTCGAGGGATTTCCGGAAAATAAGGAGGAATGGAGCTGACCTCACTTGGGGGGCAGGGGGAGAAGGTTCCACAAGGCAGGGGCCACAGCAGAGAAGGACCACTCCTCAGGCCCACCAAATGAAACTCCCTAGTCGACGGGGCCCGCAGCACGCCTTCCCGGCCAGACCTAATGGGACTGATGTAATTGGGGAGAGGGGCACCTTCGGATAACCCGGCCCCAGGCCATGAAGGGCTCCAAAGGTCAAAACCAGCACCTTGAACTGGACCCAGACGGAAACTGGCAGCTGACGCAGCTCGCGGAGCAGAGGTGTAACACGTGCTCTTCTTGGAGCGCACACAACTTCTTGCACCACTGCATTTTGCACCAGCTGAAGCTTCCGGATCCTCTTCAAGGGCAGCCCCAGGTCGAGCGCATTGCAGTAGCCCAATCGGGAGGTGACCAGGGCCTGAGAGACGGTGAGCAGAGCCTCCTGATCCCAGAACAGGCGCAACCAAAGCTGAAGAAGCAAGCCGAAGTTCACTTACCTCTGTATTTATACAGGGCATTCCAAAGAAACTGGGCTGACACCACAGGCTTCTCCACAAAAATCGTGTCCCCTTTGCGGATATTTCTGGTGGCAAAAAGTCCTTTCCCCTTTAGGTGGAGATAACGAAAGATCATTCAGGAAACCTCCAGGGCTTGTCTTTTGCAGGGAGGGCGAGCCGGAGAAATCTGGTCTTAGAAACACCTCCGGCTGACCATCCCAGCTCTCTTTTGGAAGGAATGCCAACAGGCGATCCTTTCCCCCACCCCCGGAGTTTGGAAGCATGCTTTAAGATGGGTGGACTTCAATTCCTAGAATTCCCCACCAGCATGCTGTAAGGTGTGTGGACTTCAACTCCCAGAATTCCCCAGCCAGCATGGCTGGCTGGGGAATTCT